GAAGAAAAGATTGGGAGATCAAGTTCAAAAATAACTTTTACTAGGAACATCCAGTCCAATTCTATTGAGGGGAATTCATCCTTTTTTATCTCTTACACCACTTATATATTTGCCTAAATATCCATACTCGAGCAAGCCATGCTCCTTTCCCTAGACATTCCAAAAAAGGCATTCCCATCTACTATAAATTTCTTATACAGAATTTCAAGGGTAGTTCAAGTAGTAAGAGAGACGAACTGTAAATTTATACGTTTTAAGTTCAAATATTGACAATTTATTGAGGTCAAGTTATGGAAAATTTATCTCTCATGAATATCCTAGTCCTAGTGTAGATAGTCTTCTTTTGATCGGACCGAGAAGAAGATTAGTCAAACTGTGCATAAAGTGACTCAGATACCCTGACCATTGAACTAAAAAAAATTCCTTACAACCTAATTTCCCACACATTGTCAAAGAAGGCATTCCATTCACTACAGCATGCAAGTTTAGAAGGATCCTGGGATGGCATTCTCTCTGTCTCTCTCCCCCTAAAAAAACCATAAGAGTAAGGACTAAGGTTGACAAATTTGTATATCTACAACTGAGAAAATTAGGGTATTTATTTATTTATTTTTGGAAAGGGAAGGGAAGAAATGAGAAAATGAGGTTCAAACTTGCAACCATCTATGACCCTTACCTCAAAATTTTAAAGATATGGTTCTTTTTTTATTTGTTTAGTATGAATTAGCAATAAAAACCTTCTTAGTTAATTTATAAATGTTTTAAACAAAATATTTCAAGATCCTAATACACCCAATGCCAAATAGCTGCCAAGACGCACAAGACAAAAACACAATATGTGCCCCTGCCACACTTTCGTACCTCCAAATACCCGAATTCGTTATAGTCCCTCTTGAAAGTTCAAAACAATTGGAATTTTTTTGGATATTTCTGCTCAGCCTCAAGCTTGCTTTTCATTGAGAGGTCCAAATATGGTGTATCAAACAATAACTGTTAGATCACATTTTATAATTAACTAATTTTATGGAGTCCATTATAAATCTCAACTTATTCTATAGTTATGATACTATGAAGATAAAGATCTGAAAGCATCATTGAAAGGAGAAGATCAAGCGTCAAAACTACATCATTCACACTCTGATTGCACCTACAAATTTAGAACAAAGGTAGTGACATCGATACCTAAGATGATTCTTTCGTTTATTTAACTTAGGAGTATTATAGTTAAAATAGAATTAGAGATTAATTCGTGAATGACTCCTAAATAATTTTAAAAGAAAATATTTTTTAAACAAGTTGACGTTTTGAAAACATATATTGAGTCATTTGCGGACCTTTCTTGAGCAACCGCTTTATACTCACTAACCTTTTTTAGAGTGGTCTCTTTATGACTTAGGGAAGAAAAGGGAAAAAGGCAATGAAGAGAGAACAGAGCTCACTAGAGCGGTCCCTTGACCTCGCTTTGGCGGTCTGCTCTCCTAGTCAAGATTGAAACCTCATTTTGATTCCATTAACAACTTTCCTATAACCACCCTCCCACTGATCGAGTGGTCGTTCGCGAACATGAGTTTTCTTGTTGACTAATATTACCCTTATTCCGGACTTATAAATAGTGAGATCCTTGCATACAACTAGGTTAAGTCTCTTGTGAGTATTTTGAGAGAAAAACTTTATCTTCTACTTTGAGTGCTTCAACCACAACCTTAAATCCCTAACCCAAAGGCTAACCATCTAGTGATTCTTATCCAACATCACAACTTGAAAAAGAAGAACTTGTTTGAGTGAAGACCAAACCTATTGGAGTGTACAAATCGAGAAACTTAGGTGTGAAGTTTTGAAGATTGCTTGACGCCTAGAGGATTCATTGCGGTGGAGAATTCAAGTGAAGCTATCCATAACGTTAAAAATGGAGTTTCGACGAAGAGATCTACTTAAGGAAATAAGCATCTAACCATGTGGATTGATTTAGGTAAAAATTTTGAGTGCTAGTAGATTGAATTTATGTTTAGTGGATTATACTTTGGTAAATCGAGAAGGTTCCCTGCGGTTTTTCCCCATAAGAATTTCTGCGTCAACAAACCACTTGTGTTATTTATTACTTTTACATATACACTTGAGATTTGATGTATATACGGGCACTATTTATTTGATGAATTGATTGTTTGAATCTACATATAGTTGCTTGATTGAATTTGAATTACCTTGGTTGGGATTGCCGTGTGAGATTGAATGTTAATCAACAAATTAATAAAATTAATACACTAATCTACATGAGTATTTTGGGTTGCGGTGTTTGAAGAGGGATTCTCACACTTAACTTTCATATTGTGTGACGAGGTAATTGTGATAGATTAAGTAAAAATTAGTGGTAATCTGAGTTTAAGTTTTAATTAATTTATTCACTCCCTTCTAGGTCTAACGTGCGATTCCTCGTGTATAATTAAGTGAAAAAATTCTAAAGTGAAATATTATATTTTCCCCACTATAACTTTTCAATGTCATATTTTTTGTTCGAATGAAAACTTGACACGCGTAACAAATACGTATTTTATTGTTTTACTTAAGTTTATTCTTTTTATGATTAATAGTCACAAATAAATTAAAAGAAGGGTTAACGTCACTTTTAATCTCTAATGTATATATTTTTTGTCAATTTAGTTTTTATTGTATCAATTTATCAATTAAAGTATTCAATTTATGTTATTTTGGTTCCTATATAGATGGACTGTTAAGTTTTTGACGGAATGATCACGTGTTTGATATTTTATACCATCTAAAAAAATGACATGTAGTCACTTCATCAAAAAAATTAGTGAATTATCTGATTAAAGACCAAAATGACACGAATTAAATATTTTAGAGATCAAATTAAAAAAATTGACACGAATTAAAATGGATCTCACTTCTTCAAATAATCACCCCTCCATGTAAGATAGTAACCGTCACATATTCAAAAAGTAAAATTCACTTGTCCATTTGATGGCCTTTGGTTGGGTCAGCCCCTACACTCTCTCTCTCTCTCTCTTTCCCTCACAAACCTTGTTCTCTTCTATTTCAATTAGATTAAGCAAAATTTTTCGGTGAATATGAATTTTAGGAAGAAAAAACTTGAAGTACTTTAAAAAAATGAAAAATATTACTGTCTTGAACCACAATTGAGTGTTATTGTGTTAATTTGGTAGCCTTGCTTCATGGTGAAGAACATAGATTCTTTTTGCTGCAATTTTTTTTTTTTTTTTGTGATTTAAGACCATAAGGGAAGAAACATGGTCGGTCTCGCTTATAAGGAACACTTCTTTCTAATTTAGATACATATATATAGTTGCATTCAAAATTCAATGATGTAGAAAAAGTATATAACAAACTAGTGTGTAATGGGTCATATTTATGATTTAAAGTATCGGCTGATATCGATAAAAGTTCACTAAGTCGTATCAGACTCTCCATGTTCATGTTCCGTGTAAATCACATATCTAACACGAATAACGATCGAACGGTTTCTGATTTTGGCCCCAAGTCGGTCGAGTCATTATAATTTAGTAGATTATTGCAATCTCACGCGACACCACGATATAATCTGGAATTCTCGTCATGTTTGACTTTTCCAATTTAGCATTTTGTACGCATAACCTAATACCATGTCGCAATCGAAGAGTCTTAGTACCCTCCGACATTGAACCATGGTCATACTATGTGCAAGTGACCATGACATTGAGAATCCGACAAGATGAATCGAACTGTAGTTTAGCATTCTGTTTGGCATCAAACTTTGCCAGAATCCAAAATAGAAAGTCACATCGTGAATTGGGCAGAAATCTCTGGTGCAAACCTTTCGAAAGGGATGTGCCGATGAGACCAACATGTTTTACAATTACAAAGTCCAGACTGACATGCTTCAACGTCATACCCACCCAAAAGAGTAAAAACAAGGACTAACCCCGTGTTTGGTAGGATTGAAAATGGGTGGATGCAAAAATGAGAATGAAAAATGGAAGGAAAAAAGGGATTTTTCATTGTTTGATTAGAGGGAAAATTGGGATGAAAAGATGGCTTTATATGTATCAAATTTTCAATGGTTGAAAAAGAGAGTGAGTATGCATGATATCAAAAAATAATTTTTAGTTTGCTTTAAAACCGTCGTAGATTGGTAAATAAGCTACAAAGTGATGCAACACTTATCGTAAAGGATTACATGACAGATCAGCATCGTCGAAAGCAGCACTGATTGGGCGTCAATCAGGGTTGATTCTAGGCGACAGTGTCAGAAAATTTCAGAAAACTCTTGATGATCTAAGTAAGATTAAAATATATATTTTTCAATCCGGTATTTTTAAGCCAAAAAATAACGTATAGGGCACTTTTAGACACTTTTCTATTTTATCCCACTGTTTGGTTTTTTTTCGTAATATTGCTTATTTGTTTGGGTTTTCTAGTAATTTAGGACCATTAGGGTTTTGTTTTTATATTGTGTTGAGGAACTAAAATTAGATGTAGAAACGAATTCTCTTTTTTTTCCAATTGACTTAGTATTCTTTGTGAATTAACAAAACTTTTGAAAACTTTAATTTAGTATTATTGTGATAATCAATAGATAATATTTTCTGTTATTTAATCTCGTTTGTTTTTCCATGCTTTCCTACATTAAAAAATAAGGTTAATCCTTACATTTTGAGTTCACGTATTGTGTGAAATTCTTTAAAATTCTTCATAATACATAGGCACAAATGTGATATGACAAAAATTGATGATCCCTAAATATGATTAGCTACCCTTGAAATGACATGAATGATAGCGTGGTACAATACCATATTGACTGAGAAAACCTATGATTCCCAGCCGAACCCCTTGAATAATTCCAGAGGAATGGCAACATTCGAGACTCCCAGGTAACAGACATTATTGTTGTGTGCAACAAAAAGGCTCACTGGTAGTTCAGAAGAAAACTCCATTGTTAGCTAAAGGTGACTGCTTCACTGTGGCCTGCACTTCAAATTTCTGCAATGGCTACCACACCTTCAACTACTTTTAGCCTCTACCCTAACCATAATCTCCCGGCCGAATCCTCCATTGTAGAGGAAACAATATCTCGACATTTTACCGGAGAATTCGCTGGTGATGTTTCTGTTCCTTGGTCCAATTTACAAAAGGTAAATATCATGTAGGGGTGTTAATCAAGACGAATTACTCAGACTTGACTCGTATTTTAAACGAGTTGAATTTGAACAATTTTTTATACACGTTTAAAAAAACGAGTCTTAAAAGTTCGGCTCAAACTCGTAAAATTCAATTTTTTTATATGTAAAATAGTTGAGTTACTCGAATTCGGCTTGAGTTTGGCACAAGCTCAAGCTCGAGTTTTAAACAAGCTAAGGTTAAACAAATTTTTAAATTTGTTTAAAAAAATGAGCCCGGCAAACTCAGGGATATGCTCGCAAAGTTCGGTTTGATTAACACCCCAATCAGCAGCTATGATCTGAGCTCCGTTATCCTTGCCGCCTTTTTTTTTCTTATTCAAATACAACATAATTTCGGTCGATTTGGAAACACAGAGTTTAGAAATTTGCTTTCGAAACCTAATGTAAACATGGAAAAATATGAAATATTGATCCTAAACATGTGAAAAACTATCCCAGAACAATCTGAAACATGGGAAGCATGGTTTTGGTCAGCTCAGAAACATAATAAAAGTAAGGAAATACGTATAATTTTAATCCGAAAACGTCTTTTAATTCGAAAAAGTCTTGAAATATCTTTATTTTGAAACATTCCGAGAAGAAGAGAATTTCGAAATTAAAGAAGCGCAACGAAATACTTGATCCTTATTCCCATCCACTAACAATGAATTAGTATTGATTTCTTGTTTGTAATGAAAGATTGTTGCAGAGCTCATCGGCACCTACATTCTTATTTTTGCTGGGTGTGGGGCTGCTCTTGTTGACAGAGAAAGGACACTTACTACAGTGGGTATAGCAATGGTTTGGGGCCTGGTTTTAATGGCGTTAATATATGCAGTTGGTCATGTCTCCGGTGCCCATTTCAATCCTGCAGTAACCCTTGCCTTTGCTGCATCATGCAGATTGCCACTAATACAAGTGAGACTTCTTCAAACTCATCACTGTCTTGAGTTACAATGCTCTGTATCTGTAACTCTCTCGACTCGTACTGTATGATATTTTACTTTAAAATAGTTTACATGGGTTTAGAACACTTGTATAACATCCATAACTCTGTGGACTTGCATTGCATTGTTTGCATTCGGCTAGACGCACACGACTTCAAAATTTTATTTTTTTCTGGTTCCGCTGCCGGGAAACTTCAAAATGCGTTGAATGTTCAAATTTCAAACTTATCAAACACTTCACACACACTCCACCAAGCAACGTACGTGAGATTGGAGTTACCAAGCTACGCATGAATTTGATTTTTCACTTGAATCCTCTATTCATCTATTATTATTATTCACTGAAATTCGCCTAAAATTATTATGTTGCAGGTGCCCATGTATGTATTGTCTCAGTTGATGGGTTCAACACTTGCATGCCTCACCCTGAGGATTATGTTCCATAAACAAGGAGACATACGGCCAACCGTCACCCAGTACTCGAGTTTAACCACTGATCTGGAAGCTATTACTTGGGAATTCCTAATCACTTTCTTTCTCATGTTCACCATCTGTGGTGTTGCCACTGATGATAGATCGGTATGAATATGACGTTCTTCAAGTTCTACCATGCATACTTGCCTTGGCTAATTATGGCCCCACTCGAATACCGAAGTTCTACCATTTCAAAACTTAGTTCTCGCAACGAATAGAAACATTAATAATCGAGCTGAGTTTCTTGAGTTTGTTTTTATAAATGAATTTAAAAAATTGTAAGTTGAGTTTAAAACGAGTCAATTTCGAATAATTCAATTATTTCATCTTTAAAAGAGCCAAATTTTTTAGATTCATTTTTAAAACAAGTTTAAAAAATTGTTTACACATGAGTCGAGTAGAGTCCAGTAAGGAGTTAATTTTGAGTGATCAGAACTTCTTAATCTCACCTTAAAACGTCAAAAGTTCGAGTGTTAGCAGGTCAAAGACTTGAATTTGATCTTAACGTGTGGCTTAGCGGCTCCCACATTCCCACTCCTTCCACCAACAATAAGCTAAATCAATTATATATTTTCAAAAAAAAAAGAAAATTTACATTTCAACCCCTTAACTATGGCCACAATCTCATATTGTCCCCTCTACCATGGAGTTTTTGACATTGTCTGTCAACTACTTAAATTGGCTTTGGAAAAAATACAATTTGTACTTAATTAGGAACTAATACCTAATCAATTACAATAGTTGGATTAAAAGTAAACTCTATTTAACATTAAAACTCACAACTAATTTAATAATTAAAAAAAATTAAGTCCCTATAAATTGGATAATGTGTAATCAACAACTAAAGTTTGACGTACAATATGAAAAACATGATAACTGAGGGGCTATATAACACTATAGCCTTAGTTAGAAGTGTAACGTGGAAAATGTGATAGTTAAAAGAACAATATGAGCTATGGCCATAGTTAAGGGTCCATGTGTAATTTATCCAAAACAAATAGTTTCCCATTACAAATCTTTCTGAAATCTTACTCTCAACATTTTTCCCCAGCTCTTTTTGGCTTTTTCTTTTAACAGAGGGGGACGGCGGCAAGATTCGAACTCGTGACGTTAAGGTTCAATGGCCCCGCCACGTTTTTTCTCAACAGAACCTTAGGAATTTTCAACAGTAAAATCATAAGAAGTTGGAGCAACTCTTTCTCTTCTTTTATACCTATAAATTGCCGCATTTCATTATGTTAAGTTTTTGCTTTCACCTGGCACTGAAAGGCACTACTGAATTAATGCTTCTCCTGATGAAAACAGAACAAAGCCCTCTCTGGCGTTGCAATTGGAGCAACTGTCTGGTTTAATGTCCTCATTGCAGGGTAAATGAACTCCCTAAATACTTCAATAGCCATCTAGACCACATTCTTCGTCACCACCGTCACCATCATTCTACCACCGATGTTTCCTCAAAATAAATCACCCAAACAAGAAAATAGTGTTCAAATATGTTTATAATTGTTGTTTTTTATTTTTTTTGGCAGCCCTATTACCGGAGCTTCAATGAATCCTGCAAGAAGTATAGGCCCTGCTTTAATCTCCGGTATTTATAAAAATCTCTGGGTCTTTATTGTAGCTCCCATCCTTGGAGCCATGGCTGCAACCATAGTGTACAGTGTTCTTCGTGGCCCGAACCCTGAGAAACATGAAGAACACTCCAAAAGCATTTACAATGACATGTTACCTACATTCAGAGGCCTAGAGAGGTCATGTGCTAGTTTTACCAAATGCTGGAGAGCATGAGAGAGAATGTGAAGAAATGCTTCTGCAGAGATGTGTTTTAGGTAAACAGTTGTCCGGGCCTGGTCACTGCTTGCAGTTTAGCTCCAAAGGGAACCTATTTTACAGATTTCAATTTGTACTTGCAATATTCCAAATTGTCTCATTTAATCGTACTAATAGGAGAGTCAGATTGAAAAACTGCAGAAAACAGTTGCTAATTCAGGGAAGCAGAATCCATTCAACAGGTCACTAAAACAGTTACGGTTCAAACTAGAAGCCACTTTACAAAGTTCTCAAACTTGTATAGCCCACAGTCAAACATACTGGCTTAAAACAAGAGCATCAAGTGATGTTGCAAGAAGGATACACAAAAGGTGATAACCGAGGATTGCACTTATAACATCTGCCTAATTAACAAAAATGAAAAGTTGCAAACCTGGGTTTATTGGGACTGCACATCCTATATTTCAACACTCTTACCTTCCGTTATGAGAACAATATTTACTATACAGCAGAGCTACAGATATAGAACAACAGACGATGCGAAAGGCCACAGATGAGCTGTATCCTCTGGTTTGAAACTTCAGACACACAGGAACTCAACTGTTTCATCAGGTCAGACGAGTGAAAGGGAAGCGGAGTGAATAAAGATGTACGAGGGGCGATTTCTTGTCCTACTGCGCGAAAGGATTAGATGACATCTTGAGTCTTCACCACCAGGCTCATTGCATTGTCATGGTAAATGTTCACCTATCAGCAAACAGGAGATTAAGAACTTCTTGATAATTTTTGAAGAGTAACTGAAACCATGCATATTCCGTATATATGTAGCGTGTATACACTATATGACTGCAGCTGCATGGCTTTGTTATTGATAAACAATCATGGGTTAGTCAAAATCCTATAAATTGAGCATTTCCTTCATGCAAGAGCGATGTGAAGAACTTTAATATAATAACCACAGCACCAACTGTTCATGGCTAACATGTTCAGAAAATCTCATAAAAAATTATCCTAGCCTTGTCGAATACTTCAGCAATCATAGTATACTTACCCAGTTTGAGAAAGCCGCCTCCAGTTCATATGCTGGTGAGACTGCGGATGACTCTGCAGGTAAGAACTGGTTCCTATAGCATTGTCTTCCCCAACAAACTGCTCCGAATAATTTGAATTTGAGGGAGACCATACCGGAACTACACCCCCATCCCTCCTACTACCAATGGAAGATTCTGCTGTTGACTCTTCAGAATTCCTCCGCCTTCTAGTAAAATCAAATTGAGGCAAAGAGTTGTTGCTCTGAACTCTTTGCATAGAAGCTTGATTAAATGTCTCTCGCATTGGTTCTTGATTTAGAGCGATATTTGTTGGCACTTCTGCGCTACTTTCTGCTGCTGAATGTTGGAGCTCCAAAGAAGTTTCTTCCTCTTCAACCCTCAGCAGCGAAGAAGTCATGCTTGGAACCATCTGATCCTCATAACGTCTGGTCATAGTAGTAGGGTTGTTCCTTGCAGGTTCGTGATCCATTTCCATTTGTATGTCCTGAGGAAAAGGAAAGGTGGCTGATTCAGAGGAGTCTCCCAGCCCTTCCTCAGTTCCGTTCTCAATTGCAGCTCTAGAAGCTGCCTCATGTTGCCACATCTGAGCAAGTGCTTCTTGCAACCTAGCTTTTGCTGCATCAATTTCAACAATGGGAAGAGGGTAATTGGACCCTAGCTCAATTCCAGCAGCTTGAAGTACAGATTCTGGCGCATCCCAAGGGTGATGTATCCAATCAGTAGGCAGTCTAGCCAGTTCAGGAAGCCATCGCCGTACATATTCTCCATTGGGGTCAAATTTGTAACCCTCGAACTGTCATAAAACTATGAAACATTAGCTAACATGAATATTTTTCTGATAAAGATTCATTGCCTTTAAGTTGTAGAATAATTGGACTCATGGGGAAAACAAATTTGGAGAATCAAGACTCACATTTATGCTAAATTTTCTTTGAGACCTGCAGACTCTTCAAAAGTAGTTTTAAGAGAAACCGAATATAGCTTGCAGTGACAAATTTTCATTTCTCTGAGTTATTCAATGTTGTACATTAGAGGCTTTGCTTGGTGCAATAGTGAAAGCTTGAATAGGCAAGCATGAGAACATGCATTCAATCTGAGAGCTACTGCTTTGTGTAGCTAATCCCAATGGTTAATTTGCATCCAGTTTACCCTCCCAGCACCTCACATCGACTGGGCCAAAACTAAGTGATGGCCTTTTCTAGTTTAGCTTGTTTGTAATTAGTTCAAGGTAAATGCCATACACAAACTCTGAAAAATTGGAACAGCGAAGCATAAGAAAGGTGTATTTTTTATTTGTCAGAAAGTAAAAGAGAGGTATAAATAAAGCTACAATACCCAGACATGTTACTGCAAGACCATCTAGGTTGCCATGTTAGAAGTCTCCATCAAAACAGAACCCTAGCAGAAAAAATGTTTCTACAGAAACTGCTCGGACTTCCAAGTAGCAGAGAAGTACCACATTTCCCGTCTTGGTATCACCCTTTTTGCACTTCAATTTGTATTTGCATTGAAAAGAAAGAGACCAGCAGCCCACAAAACAATTTGAAGCTATGTACAGTCAAAATCCTAGCCAAGTCGAATACAAGATTAGTTTAATGCTTTATCTAAGTATTGAGACACTAATGGGAATGATAGGATCGGAGTTAAGGCTTTTGGCGAGTTGAGTTAGTAATACTACCAGCATGCTGATAGGTGCAGCATATACAAGAGTACACATAGACTTATTACAAGTATTTCAATTAGATAAATTGTGCAGGTTTATCAACTAGTCACGAGAACAGTGACGAGTGCAAATGGAAAATACAAACTAAATCAAACTCTGCTGGATTTTATAAAAAAATTATCATCTGTACCTGTGGATTATCTATGCGGTCCAATTCCCGACCATCAGGAAGAGTGCCAGAAATATATTGCCAACCAAGAGCATCACTCTCTAGATCTGCATCTAATAGGGTATCCCAGAAGTACTTCATTCCCCATCTCCAGGGAAGCTGTAGTACCTTCACAAAGAAGCTTGACACTACAACTCGTATTCGGTCATGCAGCCAGCCAGTGGCCCACAGCTCTCTCATGCCTGCATCCACCAATGGATAGCCAGTTCTACCTTGTCTCCATACCTTAAAATAGCTCTCATCCAGTACCCAAGGGAAAAATTTCAGGTGCCCAAGAAGAGGTCTTTCATGGCTGTAAGGATGGTTAAAACTCATGTATCTTGAGTACTCCCTGAGACCAATGGACTTGAGGAACAAGTTGACACTCTCCTCCCCTGCTTTGTTCCCTTCATTAGCCCATAAAACTTGCTTGAGGCGAACAAGATGGAAGACCTTTCGCACACTCACTTCCCCAAAATGTAAATGGGGAGAGAGAAATGAGGTTGTAGCACTATCAGCCTTCCTACGGTTCTTAGAGTACTCAATCAATGGTCCATTGATAAAGGTTGTTAGGGCCTTATCCGCATTACTCCACCCTGGAGACCATGCCCGAGCAAGAAGTGCATTGCTTCCTTTCTCTGATTCATCTTCGAATACTAATGTATCTGAAGGGAACCTAGACACATCACCTGAAGTAATGGAAGCAATGGTTGAGTGCATGTTGCATAAAAAATTTATATTTAAAAAACTATGATTTGGGTTGTATGGGCTTGTAAAAAATCAGCACAGATTATACACCAGATTATAATGCTACAAGGTTGCCGAATGGGACCTTGTTTAATATCTTCTAGCATGTGTGCAGTTGCACACATGATAGAAGAGTGCTAGTATGGCCATTCTCATATATACATTGTCAACAACTATAAATTACAAGCAAACATACAGCATTCATCTACAAGAGTCACTGTTTGCGTTAAAAGTAAAACCAAGGCTAATCTCATGTAATAAAAAATAAGAAACTTATTGAATAATAATAATAATGAAATAAATATATTGGAGGAAACAGACCAGAGATTATCCTCTTAGGTGGAAGAAGAGGAGCCTCGGGATCGTAAGGCATGCTAAGGCATCTCTCCCAGAAAGCTGAAAAGGTTGTGAAGGGGCGACCATGGTCATCCTGAACATCCCACGGTTCATAGAGCAAGTCTGCGTTGAATGATCGCACAGCTATGCCTTGAGCAGTTAAAACTTCCTTTGCCCGGTGATCCCTTACCAGCGACAAGGGGTCTAAAATGTAGAGAAAAGGAATGTAGTCAAAACACCGAGGGATTAGACATTATTCACAAAATTTGTTTTGTATCCTAAGCTATGCAACAGGACAATAAGGGGTTACGATACTCGAAATTTAATTCAATCATGAAGAAGTTGATAAGGGTATCAGACCAATCTACACGATGGTACTAAGGGCACCACATCAAACAAAGGGAATTTTTTTGAGCATGGTAGGATCCCTATATCACATATGACTTACATCCCGTACATCTAGGCTCAAAATGTAATAATCCAAAACTGTAGAATTTAATTAATAATTAGAAGAAAAAGCAGCAAGAAAACAACCACTAATCACTTAATTACAAGATACCATATTGCTCTAAACAAGAAGCAGCACGGCCAGCAGTCACAATTAGAGAAAGATCACCAAGGAAACTACCTAGTTATTAAATAATAAAAAGATCTTATAGTAAAAAAAGCATCAAAAGCAGCAGTCTTGGAGTTAAATAAATAAACCAAACAGCATCAAACAAATATTAATCATCCACAATCTAAGAATTCCAGATTAAACAAGAGGAAATTGCATTAAGAAAGAAGGAAAAGCATAAGGAAACAATTAAAAAAAACTGTAACTTACAAAAAGTCAATCTGCATAACAAGAAGAAAATGAGAGTACAAGAAAAGGTCAATATATATATTCACAACAAAAAATAAATAAATCGTAAATTAAGACTGACCATATAAGTGGTTGAAGAAGAGCTGAGTAGCTCCAGTAGATTTGATAACCTCAAGGAGAGAAGAAACACTATCTGTAGATCTCTTGGTGATGAGAGAAGTGCCAAGGCTCCTCAAAGATGAATCAAGATGGGCCAAACTCTGTTTAAGCCACCACCTTGACACCCTACCAGGATAGTAGTGACCTTCTTCCTCAGGAGCCCATATAAAAACAGCAACCACAGCTCCTGCTCTCACCCCAGCAGCTAGTGCTGGGTTGTCTTCTACCCTCAGATCTCTCCTGAACCAGACTATACCACATCCATTACCAGACATCTCCCAAAGTTTCTACAATTCGAACCCTACAATCCCTCCTTATACACATGCCATCCCTCTATGTCTCTCTGGAGGAGAACAATTGTTTTACTGTAATTACTCTTATCCTTTCTGTTATTCTCTTCAGTTTTAACCAAAAGGAGTAATGACCCAGAAAAAATTAAGGGTTAATCTCATTTTGTACCTTAAAAGATTGTTCAAATCTTAATTTGTACCTCCAAAGATTAAAAATCTCAATTTACACCTTCAAAGATATAAATTTGTATCAATGTGTATCCACAAAGATAAAAAATCTCAATTTGCACCCTCAAAAATAGAAATTTGTATCAATATACACCTAAAATTAAATTGATAAATTATACATAGATCCCCTCATGTTTGTCACTTAATCATTTGAACTCCTTCACATTTAGAATATTCCCCTTACATCTTATGACATTTGTGCATGTGTAACACATAACCACTTTTCGTTGATATCTGTTAATATAATAATTAAAAAATATGATTTTATCCTAATAAAAAATTATAATTTCATATTACTTTTTATTTTGTGGATTCGATATACTCTAAAGTTAAAAATCAAGTTTACCATTTGAATATCTAATAAAATTTAAATATTTATATAAAAGGTAATATGAAAAACATTATATAAATATTTACATTTTATTAGACATTCAAATGGTAAACTAGATTTTGAACTTTAGAATATATTAAACCCATAAAATAAAGGGTAATATGAAATTATAATTTTTTATTAGGATAAAATTATATTTTTTAACGGTTATATTAATAGATATCAATGAAAATGAGTTACGTGTTATACGTGCACAAATGTCATAAGATGTAGGAGTAATATTCTAAATGTGAAGAGGTATAAATGATTAAGTGACAAGTATGAGGGGATCTAGGTATAATTTATCAATTTAGTTTTTAGGTGCACATTGATACAAAGTTCTATCTTTGAGGGTGCAAATTGAGATTTTTTATCTTTGGGGTGCACATTGATATAAATTTCTATCTTTGAGGGTACAAATTGAGATTTTTGATCTTTGGGGGTGCACATTGATACAAATTTCTAACTTTGAGGGTATAAATTGATATTTTTGATCTTTGAGGGTACAAATTGAGATTCAAACAATCTTTTGGAGTATAAAATGAGATTAACCCAAAAATTAATATGAGAAGGCTGATTTTACGCCATAAATTTGAAAAGGTGCATCTGAGGGATGGATAAATTGCAGCCACAACTTTTGTTTTGCTTGTTTTTTTGTTTTAATATCTAGTTTCTTTATCTTATGCAACAAAACAAAATTCCATCCCTTCTCTAATTTTTTTTGTTTAATGATAAGTGATTTTTGGGTTAAGTTATACGTACTTTTTTTAATTTATTTTTATCAGATCAAAAATAGATCATTTACGTTAAATCTAAAATATTTATGAGAGATTAATTTTTCATAATTTGATTCTAAATAATTATCAAAATTTAAATTCAAAACGTTTGAATTTATCCGTCATCATCTTCGTCACCATTTAAAGTACCCACGGTTCAACCCAGCTCTAGTGCCTTTCGTAATCCTATCTCTCTTTGACAGGTGGACAGAAATGAATGGAAGTTTGGCTTCAGCCTAATGAACATGCATATTCAATGGATTTAGTTTGAATGAGATATTATAAGGGGATTAAATATTAAATTATATTATTTTTTATTTAATTGAGTCTAATATTTTATTTGGTAAGTAAATTTGACATCGTATTAATTTCAAAAATGTATATTAATCGTATACTTATCGTATATTTTTTATATATTAGACTTGTATTGTGGAGGTATTTTAATACCACAAAAAGAGGTAATATTATAATTCAACTCAAACATATTATTTTATACATTTATCATTATAACTCCCCAACTGATAAAATCAAACTGTTATCAATGTAACAAACACTGATTTTTAATATTTTTATTAATTCAACATTAATACGATAAAATAATTCCTTAACCAAACAATCGATTAGATTAAATAACTATTATTCAATGTTTATGTTGTGTACTATCAAATATTATATAAAATTATGTATTATTTTAATACTCTATTTAGTCTTGTGTTTTTGTCTTGCTATATTGTATTAGACCAGATTATTTTATCTAATCCATTCATTTCTAATACAGCAACCAAACGAGCCAAATGGGTCTATTGAATGGATTAAAGTTTTTCACAATAATATAACCAAAAAAAATTTATTATTGACTTTCAATTGATTATTTGCAGCCGGGGGTTAAAAAAATATTAAAATAATATAACTTTTTTTTTCTTTTTATTGTTCAATGGTTAGAAATATCTGAATTAATTAACGTACATCTCGACTAATTATATTTCCGGTCCAGTCAAAAGCGGGTCATTCCACGCCGAGATTATAGTATTCATGAAAAATAAATTCTCATGAACTGTATCAAGGAACTGCCAAGAAAATTTGTATGGAAGTTTATATTATCACAATGGGGCACCATGAAAATGAAATGACAGTGTATTCCTTTTCAAATGTTGTCTTTGTTTTGTGACAGAGAATGACATTTCTGTTTTTTAGCTTGCGTCTGATTCTGGGCACCTTTGTGCTACTTGGAGATTATATATGGATTTGTATACATCAAGTTGGGATGTAAGTGCAATTAAGCAAGTTGGAACTTGGAAGGGAACAGCAAACATGGAGAAGATAGGTGATAGGTGTGCTGACTACTTGAATTTGGCCTTACAAAGATGTGGGCCTCTGTTTTTTTTTTTTTTTTTTCAAACCAAAATGTTCAAATAGGGACCTTTCTTAAGAGATCCTCAAAATGCTTAGATTCCAATCACCCTTCACATGTCACTGTTAAAAGTGATTTCTAAGGTGGGCATCTTTCTTTTTTGCCCCAAACACTTCAAGTAGTGGTTTATGTGTTAGGACCAAAAATGAAAGTGGGCAGAGATTATAGAATTTGCCTACGGTGTCGAAAAAAAAAAAAAACTTGTATTATTGACAAATTTTACTATTTTGACAGGTATTTTTATAATTTTAATGGGTCATTTTATAAAAAAAAATTTATCATTTTTATGGGTAATTTACCATTTTTATAGGTATTTTTATTTTTTACAACACCTACAAAAGTAATGAATGTTGGTACGATACTTTTTTTTTTCCGATACAGTAGACTTGTCTCTATATTGGCTTTAGTATGAACTACAATAGTCTAAATGATAATAATCTATGCATTAGGCCATGAATGCGAGTTATCTTGTTTTCAAAAATGTGGAATAGTATATTAGATAAAAAAGATATATTGTTTTCAATCAATATTTATACAAGTTAGAACATTTGACAATTGTTTTAATCCGTTCGAATATAAGATATTTGGCTTTGGAGGTTAGTGGATAGGGATGTCAGTAGACCGAAGCGAGGGCAATAGTCTCCATCCCCGTACCTGTTTAAAAAAATTTTATCCACTCCTGGTCCACTCTCGTTAATGGGTATAATTTTCATCCTTGTCCGCGGGTAAATTTCTAATCCCCGCTTCCGTCCCCGCTTCTCCTGTGCTTGCCCAAGCCCAAGTCCAAATTCAAGTCCAAGCCCAAGCCTAAGCCCAATAACCTACTATGAATGCAAAGCATGAGGATTGGCTTTTGATCGTAATATTACTACTACATTTCAAATTTTAATGGCAAAAAATTGAGAGTCCAAAATAATAAGGGTTCCAAATGCCCGATCACAAGTGCTCAAGTATCTAAAGTGATTGGGGTCTTCAATTTAGAGCTACTTATGAGAAACCAAATATCCCCAACGCAGTTGCATTTTCCTTGCACTGAGTAATATATAAAGTGTTATGCTATTAGCATCTCTAGCAGGACACATGTGCTAAAAGTTTAGTACAAATCTCATATAGAGAGCATCAGGGATTAATATTTAAGGGGCTCTAATACAAAACTTTTGGTTATTCATATGAAAAAAAGTGGATGAGATTGCAATATATATATATATATATATATATATATATATACGGGTATAATGGGAATGGAGCGGGACGAGACGAGAATAAGGGTAAGTCCATTCTTGTCTTTATCCCTGCACGGATTTATACGGGTATCTCCATATACGTCTAGTGTCTAATACGTATAGTTCATCATTGGTCCAAACGAGACAGGTTTAGACGAATCCCTGCTTTTCTCCGGTCCACTGTCATCCCTATTTGTAGACCATGAATTTGCCGAAAATAAAAAAGAACATGACCACTAATTTTTGATCAGAAAAGTAAGAGGAACATATGTATTCAATTCAGGCTATGTAAAATCTTATGTCGGTACCTATGCAAGGACATACAAAAAGTTGAGGGGGACGGGGACCCCGGGGGCAATTGCCCCTGTCTGTCGCCCTTGAGTTGAGTGGCTCCACCACTGGTCAGAGTAACTGATATTTTAACATGGTATAAGTCATTCACTGTGTTTGTGTTAATATTATATGGGTTCACACGTATTGTTTATACAGTAACAAAGGGCGAAAGAACCAATGAATTAATAGTATGTATTCCATTATAGCATACAAGAAGGATTGACCTCTTAAGAAGGATTGACCTCTTATTCGGATGCTACGTTGTGAGAGTCTACATATAATAACTACTAGAAGGTGGTAGTGTTATTTTTCAACACACAAGTATTTCATTGGTCAAACGACAAACTTGCAGAGTCTAAATATAATTAACCCAAAAGATTTCAAAGGATTGAGACATTAGTTGTGATGATGATGATGTGTGTGTGTGTGAGAGAGAGAGAGAGAGAGAGAGAGAGAGACTTTAGGTTATGTAGGCATTAGTCGTGATAGCTTTGGATGGACGTACATGTGACTTTATATGACTATCAAGATAGAATATGATAGTGGACTAGACATGCATTATGGAAGATAAGATTTCAAAGGATTGAGACAACAACAAAATTTACGGATATAACAGGACATAATTTACGGAAATAATTATTATAATCATTAGATTATTAGTGAATCTCATCATTAATTGTATTTTAAACTCAATTAAAATGTCACAATACATTATGTTCGGTGGCGGAGCCACTAGTGGA